GGTGACACTCCTAATCATGCAAATAACGTTCAGCACGATAATTGAATTGTGTACTGCTTAAACTGGTACTAAAAATCATTAATAAACTCTAACAATAATCTTTTACTAAAATGTTTAACCAAAACAAGCTCTTTGAATTAAACCTTACTTTTTACTGAATTAAGTAAACAAGCTCTTAATTAATTAAGAGAAGTAGCATTAGACACATTGTAAAATTCCCAGTAAAGTCCAATACTTCTCACAAGCTCGGAAGCATAAAGACTTGTTTGTATAGTTTATATTACAGTTAATCTTAACATAACCAATCTAATATTCGTTACTTTTACTGATTAATAAAGACAATTACGGATCTAGACAATCAGATAACTATAATGATTCAATAACAATTAAAGTGGCCAACAGAAACTGAATCAAAATCAAACGTTTAATTAAGCATAAAATTGATCAAACTAAACAGTAAACACAATCAAAATTCGTGCCTAGTGATTACTTACACTAAAGGTCGAGGCGTTTGTGAAACTGAAATCTAGGGTTTTTAGCCTGACATGGAAAAAAAATTATAGAGACGAAATTAAGTTCTAGATAACTAATCTTACTAAACAGATGTTATAGGTCAAATCATGATCTTCAGATCTTCGTTTGGCACTTAGAATCCTCAGAAAATCGGCATTCTATCCTTGGAATCGCCTCTGGTTCGAAAATTAGGGTTGCAGGAATGTTTTGGGGTGCTTTTTTATGTCCGGATAAAACTCAACAACAAATTCGATTGAATTTTTGTAAGGCACGATCAAATTTTTTGGAATTCGATCAAATTAGGCTCGTGTTTGACATTTAACGGATTTTCGATGATTTTTGTAACTTCGAAGCATAAATTTCGATCGAATTTTTTCTCTTTTCTCATGAAACTTCAGGCCAAGGAAAAATATCTTCGACATGTTAATTCGATCAAATTTTGGGAGGAAATCCAATCGAATTTATGGCTTTTTACGTGAACGTTATTTTTTCTTGATTAAATCAACTTCCAAGCATTCCTCAGCATCCTCCATGAGCTTCAAGTTCCAATTTGGCTCCAATGCTCCATCAAACATATCCTCAAGGTGTCGTATTCTCAATCCATGCTAATTTACCTTGAAAATCATAACAAAAGTGAGTAGTATGAGCGTTCTATGAAAATAATGAGAAATTCGCAATTCATAATAAGACAAGGGAAATAGTTAGCATTTTATAATAAGATACAGACAAAAATGTGCTAAATAGATGCATATAAAATGCATCTAATGGGGGAACAACATACAAATATGCTTAATGTATAGTTTATTATGACTATGAATAATCTCATTACGCAAGTATTGGTATCTAAGTCATATTTAAGCATCGAATACAGTCTCAATAGTTTTCTCTATACATGAGTTATGTATATAAAATTGAAAATGTTAGTATTCGCAAAGTTTGTACAAATCAAGTTTGTCGAATCTGCTTAACAAAGTCCCTTCATTAGCTAAAGCATGAAAGTCTCGTCGGTGCTATAGGACCTTCTTGTCCTAAGTGGATATATTTTGATTGAAATTTAGTATTTGGATATTGGTATAGTACAAGCAACATATATTAAATAATTGTTGTGTTCTATATTAGCATTTTAATCCTTGAATAACTTGGTTATTCTAATGTCCATAGTGGTTCATAGTTGTGCGAACATCTATGGGGTAAGACTAATATGAATGGATTTGTTGATTTTCATGGAGATGAAAATAGAAAGAACTGTTGCCAACTTCATAAATACTTGATTAGGAGAATAAGTCTGGATCTGACCCGCATCAAAATCACTTTATGGATCGTAGTCAAAAGTGATGTTTGACAAAAGGTTGTATCTTTGTATTCTTCGACCTGAGATACATATTTGGGACTTGAGTGTATAAATGTTTGTTCTTTGACATGGTTTAACTTTGTTCCGTAAAAAGCAGTTATAAAGTTCATGTTGGGTATGACATAACTACACGATAGGCATATGCACTCAGGATGGGACTTGTTCCTCTTATTCGTTACGAGTTAGACATCTAAGGCCTTACTAAAAGTTGAACACCACATGATATTTATCACGATCCATATCTCATGTTCAACATGATGTCTAAGACAAAGGAATGACTGATATCACACCTTTAGTGACAATTGCAACTTTGAGCTCCTGGAATTGGCTATTGATAAGATGGCACCCTTCATATGTTGTTAGGGTCAGTAGCCCGTTGCTACACGTCAGCTACTGTATATGTCAATTTGTAATGAATCTTGTGTAAGTGAGAGATTGTTAGATCTATATGCTCAAGAATCATTATTGAGTGATATTGATAATAACATATGATCATATAGGGTCATACCTTTATCAAGTTGGCACATTTGTATATTTATTATTAATATGATTATTAATAAATAATATTAACTATTGTATTTTATTAGGGAATAATTATTTTTGTTGTGAAAATAATAATTAAAGAGAGTATAACTAGTTATTATATCATAATGTATGCTTAATAACTCATGTACAAGTGTTTTGGACACTTTAGGATACCATGTCTTAACTAGTTATTTCATGCATTTATATAAAGGAGGAAGAAGACAAATTTTGTCTTTTGTCCCCATGGCCGAATTCATCGTAAGGCTTGGGAGGTTGCTTGTCAACCTCCCTCCTTGGATCCCCATGCCCTTAAAGTAAGATCATTACTTTAGATTAAAATATGGGGTAACTTTTTTACTAGCATGGGATATAAAAGAATGCATGAGGCTTCTATTTTGAAGCTAGTTTTTGGTTCTCTCTTCTTCTCCCTCTCAAATAGTAGCATGCTTCTTCTTTTTTCCTATTCTTGTCTTTTGAGGTATATTGAAGAATTGATGCTTAAAGGTGCTTCTCCTCTGGGGCTTATTTGAGTTAAGTACTTAAAGGCTTAAGAAATACCTTTTACAATATGGGAACTAGCATTCCAAGTGTGTTATTCTTGATGGTGGATACTTGAAGAGAAGATCATCTTCTTTGATTTTTCTATATTCATTAACACCCCAAAACCAAGTGGGTTCAAAGGCACCAAAGGTTGTCATTCTAAAATACTCTATGGTTGTTTTTTAATATTATTCTAATATCTATAAATGGATCCTATATGGTTTGGTTTTTTTATAAACTCGAAAATAATATTGTTATTTTTAAAGCATTTTTGCTCGGTTTTTATGAAAAACTCTCTTTTATTTTATATCAAAACCCGTCATAAATCCCGAAGGATGGTGCATATAAATGGTCTCAATAAGCTGACAGTGAATAAACATGTTCTTTACATCTAACTAATGAATCGTCCACTATTGGGGGACATAATCCTAGGAACAGATTGCATAGAAGTCGGTTTGGTAACCAGGATAAAGGTCTCATCACAATCAAGACCAAGTCTCTAACTCTTCCCGATGGCAACTAAACATGCCTTGTAGCTGTCAAAGGAACCATATGCTTTGTATTTTTTTTTCTTAAAATAATCACATGGAATGTATTATATGGTCCCTTAGAGGCCTCAAAACAAGTACCCAATTTATGTTAGAAATAAAAGCATCAAATTCATTTTGCATGGAAATGGTCCATGTTTGATCATGGAGAGCATGAATGAGAGACTTAGGGTTTCCATATTGGACGAGACATAATTTGAGACTATTGATAGGTTTCGAGATTCCATGTTGAAATCAAGTGACCATCGGGTGGCTAAGAGAGTGTGTCATTGGTGCCTTGGTTAAAATAGTAGAAACTAAGGAGGGTAGATTATCACTATTATACGTAAAGCCGATAGGTGAGGGTTCAGTTTTAGGAGAACCGAGAGGAATGGAGGCTCGGGTATATGAGTAGATGAGGTGTCATGAAAATTATAAAATATGGGTGAGGCATGATTGATCTGATCAAAGAATGTATATGAGGGGCTAATTTAGAGTCACGGAGCGGAAGGGAAAGGTAGATTCGTCAAAATTGACATAACGGTAAATGGTGATCTTTTGAGATGGAAGATCAAGACAATGGAACTCTTAAATTTTTGAAGGGTAGCCGATGAAGAGACATAGTGTAAAACCGGGAGCAGGTTTGTGGGGAGGATTGATGTGAGTGTAACATAAGAACTCAACTACCTAAAGGTCTGAATAATTTTTCTTGAATAATTTGGTGAAAGGAATTTGGTTTTTGATTGAGGTGAAAGGTGTAACGTATAAGAGGTGTGTGACTATATGTAAGGTTTTGAGATAATAGTCACCGAAGGTGGAATATGTAATTGGAAGGAAAAATACGATGGTTTTTAGGATTGATATCACATGGGCTCTGATACCATTTTATGGTCAATGTTTTCCCATAATCGGATACAATACATTCATTAAAATAAATTATGTTACAAAGTATAAATAAGCTTAATCTAATGGACTACTATATTGGGTTATACAAGAGGCACATATAAATATGATGTAATGTACACTAATAACATATTGATCTTGAACATATAACAAATTTCATCTTAATGGCCAAAACAACATAATTTTTTCTACACTAGAGTGGGTAATGGAGAGAGAATAATCCTCTTTTTATGGCCTTCCATATCGGGATTGTATCTTTCTTTGATAAACCAAGAGTAAGTAGTAGATTCTACCTATCCCTTTGGGCATAAGGAAACCAATTAACAAAGGGGAAAAATAAATAAGGAGAAACATTAGAAAAAACAAGAGATGAACATAGTTAAAATAAACTTTGTCTTTAAGCCCTTATTTGATCAACATAGTTAAAATCTAACTTGATATCTAAGCTTTTATTACTGGTCGAAAACGAAATATTTAGTTAAATACATCAAAGGTTTACTCCTACGTCTAATAAAGAAGTTTGAAAGCTAATCAAATACCAACACATGGTAAAAATAAAGACTTAAACTAAAACAAGAAATGTTCCCAAATATGCCTTTTACTCTGAATTACTCTGACATGAGCATGGAAATCAATAATACCTAATTCAACCTTGGGTTAATGAAGGTAATTGACATGACGAAAAAGAAGCAAGCCATATGAATTCCACTTGAGGTATGGACACGACTTGAATGAGAAAGTTTATCGCCTCGCACAGTATACACTTTCCTGGATTCCTCATCTTTCACTTTAATGGTTGAAGAGCCTAAGAAAAAACCAAAACTAGTGAATCATAAATCTTATCTTCTTTCAATATTATAGAGATTCGATCAGTGTTATTGAGTGAAAGGTCAGTTGATATGCCAATTTACAGAACATTAGATATAATGGACATAATTTTTAGTATAAGTTCACGAGGGATTATAAAGGTTCATGCTACAAAAAGAAACGATACAAAATGGACACGATTTCATAGTTGAAATAAGTAAAATAAATTGATATGTGATCTATACTTACACTTATGCTCAATCCATCCAATGGTCTTCTTTTCCACATCGTATGTTACCAACTTATCAGTCAATACAACATCTACATATAAAATTTATGTTTCATCACCTTTTATGTAATAAATATTTATAAATTATCATAAAACTTTTTGGTACCAACTTAAAAAAATATAATTAGTTGAGATATTGGAAGAAATAAAAAAAAATGAATTGTGGCTGACCTCCTAACAAAGTTATCTCTTTCCCATCCTTCGTTTGCAAATTGCTGTCTTGAAAACCGATACACCATTCTTGATCCTGATACAATGTTTTCGTAAATAAAGTAATAAAATGCATTAAGCCTTCAACCACCATACATATGGAAGGGTAAAGTGGATTAAATACATCAACTTCAAATAGGTATTGATGGAGATAAACTTTCAGAGATAATGAATTTTTGAAGTGAAAAGTGACAACCGGAAAACCCTTCTCAACACTATATAATCATAGGAAAAATACAAAGATACAAATAAAAGTTTCAATATTTGAAAATCTTAATCATATAGAGATGAGATTCAACTATATTTATTGTTAGATCTTCAACGAACACTTACTTTCCAGAGTATTTGTAGCATGTGAACTGTTGATCAAGAATGTGACTCTTGTGCAGCATTTATCTAGGTAAATACATTAACCATGAGAATTATATTAAGAAAAATAGAAGTGAAAGTAAACCAAGGGAATTGCACGTGAATAACACAAATATTAATGCAAACATGGAAAAGATCACATATACCTTCTTGATCAATTGCTTGTAAGCCAAATCGGGCAAATAAGCTAAGGTTGTACCACTGTCAATAATTGTTCCTTGATTGGTTCCAACGCCAAACAAATCTTTTGGAAGTTGTAAAACATCAGCACCTACCTGAATTTCCTTTAATTCAACATTATAATGCTCCCTGTGATGCAGATAAATCATAAGAAACATATATTTCAAGTTAGGACAAGTTATCTAATGTTGGTCATGTACACTACCAAAGTTGTTAGAGTTAGCTACCACAAAGGGTAGCCTGTTAATTTCAATTACGTTCAGTTATGTAATTCTTTTAGTAGCTGATTTATTCTTTTAATTCTTACATATACATGTATTTGGTAGCGTGTTCATAATCAATATAGAAGATAGGAAATTCAAATCTCTCTATTTATCTCTCTCTCTCTCTCTCTCTCTCTTGTTCTTGATTTCAACATGGTATTAGCTTTTTCGTCTGTTCTTCCACATCATTTTGAATTTTTTATCATTTTCGATTCAATCTCTTCTTCATTTGATTCAATTTTACTTCAATCCATTCATATTTCATCTCGATTTGATTTAATGTTTAAATCCTATACCAATTCGATTTAATCCAATATTGTTGATCTTTCAAACGCTTTCTACCTTGTATAATCTGATAATCCTAACATAATTCTCATTAATAATGTTTTCACTGGAATTTGATACTCAACTTGGAAACGATTAATGATTATCGTTCTATTTATGAAAAACAAGCTTGCGTTCATTGATGGAACCATTTCTAAGCCACCAATTGATTCGTTGTGGTATGCAAGTTGGTACATATTCAATTCTATGGTAATTAGTTGGTTACAAAATTCTCTTTGTCATCACATTGATGAAAGTGTTCTCTTCCTTCAAACTGCTCATGACATCTAGAAAAACTTAATCATCGATATGAACAATCTAATGGAGCTCTCATTTATCAGATCCGACAACAATTATATTCTTTATTAAAAGGATCTAATGAATTATCCACTTACTACATCAAATTGAAGAATAATTGGGATGAACTTCGCATTATCCAAATTACATTTTTAATCATGATGTAATTGATATGAATGTTTTAAATGATTAAACATTTAAATTACTCAAAGAAGTCATTGGTATTCAGTCTTACTAAGAAATCGTGTCATTCTAAATCACAATGTCATTGCTTAATTGGTTTTCCATCCAACTTCAAATTCACTAAATCTAAGAGAGAGGAACCTAAGTATGATGTTTAGATTGTAACCACTGAGTCATCATCAAACAAATCTCAAGAACAATATCAACATCTTCTTCAACTACTCAATCACACCAAATTTCAGTCGTAGTCATTTTCTCATAGCCATGCTTACTCTTCCATCCTTGAAGCTCCACTGCACTCTGATGTTACTTCCTTTTTTATACTTTGTTTCTAATGTTCATAAGTATTCTGCATTTCTTCAACCACACTTATCCTTTATCACGGATAGTCGGACAGTAAAGCGACTGACCATATGTGTTCTAACAAATGTCATTTCCAGTATATGACTAAATTCACAAACAATCAATTAGGCTTCATAATGGTCATAACTTGTTCATTTTATATTGTGGTGATGTTCAAATACATGATTCAATCATCTTGCATTATGTTTTATATGTTTCATCTTTCAAGTACAATCTTCTCTTTATCACCAAACTCAAATCTAAGTTACAACCATTTGTCTTGTTCACCTTTGAGAAATACCTCATGTAGGACACAACGTTGAAACATAGTTTAACACTTGGTATCCTTGGCAAAAGAATAAATGATTTGTACGTATTTCAATACAATGATCTTTAAACAGTGTCTTTCAAATAGTTTTCTATGTTTACTTCCTTTCCATCATCTCATGTACTCATTTCTAGTTCAAACATTACGTTCCCTTATATGATTTGACCACATCTCTCAAGCTAGCATCTATTCCAACTTCCTTTGAGTTATCATAATCATGATATTGATGCATGCTTAACTTGTGATCAAGCTAAACAATAACATTTTTCATTTTCGTATAGTAATTCTATCTCCAAAGCTCATTTGATCTTGTCCACATCGTTATTTAGAGACCACACAAACATCCTACTCATGATGGTTATAAATATTTTATAACAATCATTTATGACTTTACAAGACACACATGGATTCATATTTTGAATGATAAGAGTTATGAATTTTTATTGATTGAAGCCTTCACTTCACTCGTGAAAAACCAATTTCAAGTAACTATGAAATGCGTAAGAACTGATAATGCTAAAGAGCTTGATTAAAGTATTGATAGAGTTACTTTTATACAAAAGAATGGTATACTTTACTAAATATCAACATCTTACACCCCTCAACAAAATTCCCTTATTGAACTCAAACATAGGCACATTTTGGAGGTTGCTAGAGCCTTATACTTTTCAATGGATTATTGGTGAAGCTTATTAGGGAGAATATTTTAGAGCTTTTGTTAACCCTTTCAAAGATTCTTGCAAACCGCTCTCTATTTGAGGCTTTGTAAACAAAAAAATAGAATTGAGTTCACTTAAAGCATTTGGTTGTCTTTGCTTTGTCTGTTCTGTCCTAATGGGAAGTGATAAGTTCATGCCTATATCTCATCCTTTCATTTTTATTAGCTACCCTTTGGTCAAAAAATCTTATAAAGTTCTAAATCTAGTTACAAAAAAACTTCTTATCTCACAAGAAATCAAATTCTTGGATAATATTGATATTACATGCAAGCAATCTAATATGATTGTTGTTCCTCCTGCTGATACCAACTTTTCCACAAGAAGAATTATGATAAAGTATAAGAATTCTTTATCAACCAACTTGTTTGCAAAACTATGTATGCAACAAGATTGTCTCATCTAATAATAGCCACTTGTGTAATCACACCATAGAAATTTTGTTTATTGGTCCATAATATTATAATTCTATTGTCAATACATTTTATTCTTTTTCATGTGGAAGCTAATCACTATGATCCATCCTTTTATCATAAGATAAAGGTATCTTTGAAAGGGAATCTACCATGCAAATTGACATGAATGCCTTGAATGCCAATGGTACATGAGATATCATCAAACTTCCTAAAATAAAGAAACCATATGCATGCGGATTAGTTTATAAAATGAAGTCCCATGTAGATGGTTATGTTGTGGATTATAAAGCTAGTCTCGTTGCTAAGGGATTTACACAAAAAGAAACTATATACTATCATGAAACATTCTCAATAGTGGAAAATTGACAACTGGTCATAGCATTGTTGCTCTTGTTGTTAACTCAAGCGCGATACACATCAATTTGATGTTAATAACATGTTCCTACATGGCGGCTTGCGTAAGGAGGTTTACATGCAAATTCCACCGGGTCATAAGCCTCATCTTTATCTCTTTTTTATCGACTTCGGACAGTGTGTAGGCCAAACGTTTTGCATTCCTACAGTTTCAATTTTATTCTCTTTGGCCAAATGGCCATTCTCTTTCTCTTAAAAGACAACACATTCAACCATCATTGTAGCCATTTATGTGGATGATATTTTTGTCACTAGAAATGACCTTGATGAAATCAAAAGTCTTAAAACCTTTTTGAATGACCAATTTAAAATCAAATATTGGGTTTACTACATTTATTTCTTGGCATTGAGTTTGACAAAATTAAACGAGGCATGGTTATTCATACAAACAAGTTCATTAAGGAGTTGCTCTTAGCCTATAATATGACTGATTCCTCATCAGTTACAACTCATCTTACTTCTCAAGTTAAACTTCTTCAAATTATGAACGATCATATCCTAGGTGCTACCATTTAAAAAAACCTATTAGCAAACTCAACTTTTTATTGCACACTCGACTTGACCTTTTCTTCTAAAAGCAGTATTTGAGTCGGTTCAACAAGACTCCATCTCAAGTTGTCTATAAAGATGCATTACATGTTCTTCAATATCATAAAGGATCAACTTATCAAGCTCTTTATTACAATGACAAACCTCACTTCAAGCTAAGATTGGGCCTCCTATCACACGAAGATCTGTTAGTGGTCACTCCATAATCGTTGGAGGCACACCCATCTTTTGGAAATCAAAAACCAAGTTACAATCTCCTTGTTGAGGCTGAATATTGATCTGTGAGACGAGTGTGTTTCAAACATCACTCATATTCCCTTAAAGTGTGATAATATGGCAACAATATACATCCTCTCTAAACCTCTCTTTCATGAGAGACAAAGCAAATAGAAGTATATAGAGCTTGACTGTCATTTTGTGCGAAAAGAAGTTCAAATTGGTTTTATTCGTTTATCACATGTTGCAACGATCGTTAATGAAGGGTGTTAGCCAAGCTAAATCATCACATGTTTGTCACGTGCACTACCAAAGTTATTGGAGTTACTTACCACTAAGGGAAAGTTCATTAATTCCAATTAATTATGTTCTCATAGGTAATTCTATTAGTAGCTAATTTCTTGTTGTTGTACATATATTTATAAGGTAGCTTGTTCAAAATGAATATAGAAGATAGAAAATTCAAAACCTCTCTCTCTCTCTCTCTCTCTCTCTCTCTCTCTCTCTCTATATATATATA